CGGGGGGAGAGCCGGGCAGCAGGGCAGCAGCCCTGTCATTATGCTGGGCTGCAGACCAGCAATGCCATTTTGGGAACAAGCCTGTCATTAGCGGGGACACCAGCCTGGGCTGGCATTTATGGATGTGGAAATCAGCCCAGCGCTCGCCTGCGCTTCTCCATCACCCTCCGAGGATGCAGGGATGCGCAGGGCAGGGCAGGCTGCCCCTGTTTCGGGCTGCAGCCCCCCAAGGTTCACCCGTGGCCCTCGGTGCCCCCTGAGACTCTGTGGCTGCCACCACCACCTCCCCCCGCCACTGCCCCGGCACCAGTCCGGTTGCTCCCTGCAGGGACAGAACCCAACAGCCTGGACGTGGAGGTCCCCGACACCTACAGCAGCCCCAGCCCTGGGTGCTACAGCCCAGGGGCACCCCCATGGTCACCCTCCCCCCGACGTGGAGCAGAGCCACCCACAGTGCCGGCCACCCCCAGCTCTGCTGCTCCCGCCTGCATCGTGCTCATCCCCGGGGTGTCCAGGCGCTGGAGGGAGGGAGGGATTTCTCTGCCTTGACTTTGATAAAGGGGGGCTGCTTTGGTAAAGGGGGGGTTGGCTCAGCAGTTCGGGCCTGAGAGGGAGACTGCTGCAGAGGGCTGGGGGGGTGGTGGCCTGCCAGAGCTGAACTGCCTGGGTCATTGTCTATTTTATTTAACACATACCGTGCTCAGTATTTCCAGGTAATTTGTGTTCATTTGTTGTATTCAGCCACCAAAAAGGGAGTTGCACTGGGAGCAGTTAGTGCAGGGGCTTCTGCAGCCCAGCACAGCTGGGACACCCCCACCTCCGGCCGCAGGGGACCCCCCCCCAGCTGGGAGGGGGCAGGGGGGGGGGGGGCTCTCACTCTTAATATGACAAGTAGCCAGGGCCATGGGGGTGCAACGGCTCTGGGTAAGAGCCGAGATGGCCTTTAGCAGCTCAACCCCCCCCCAGTGCAAAGGTCCTGCCAGGGCTGGCTGTGGTACAGCGGCTCTCGGGGGTGTCAGGCAGAGACACTGCCCAGCTAGCACTGGTGACACCCCCACCCCAATGCGACCGTCTCCCCAAAATACCTTGGCCCCAGAGTCAAGGGGCTGCCGTGCTCTGCAGGGACTGGGGGCAGCTCCAGCAAACCCCAGCACTGTTGTGGGGGTGCCCCAGGCAGTGGGGGGGCTCTTGTGCCCCCATATCCCCCCACAGCACAGAGCCCTTTGGGCAGGGAGGACACAGGGTTTGGACACAGCTGCTGGATGTGAACGTCACTGTGCAGCAGCGTTGTCCAAGGACCTAAAAAAGTCTTTACACCGCAAGGATCTTCAGAGAGTTTCCAAAGGATTTGTGAGAAGCAATACCAGGATTTTTTTTTTTTCTTTCTTTCTTTCTTCCTTTTAGTATTGTGGGCTTCCTCACCTGCACTACTCTGCCAGCCTGAGGGGAACTGCTGGTGGGCGTCACGACCCTTCAGCCGCAACCGCTGCTGCAGAGCAAGACCCACACGTGCCACCCCTGTGCCCAGCGCTGCGGCCGGGACCGCGCAGCAGCACCTCACCCGCACATGGTGGGGGAATTGGAAGGGCAGAGACCAGAAGCAATTGCAGGCTGGGTTTTTTTCCCTCCCAGAGCCAGCCCTCGGCGCGAGACCCCCGCGGCAGGTGGGAACGACCCGGCGGAGATGCCCACGGTGGTCCCAGCCCCTCGCAGAGCTGCGTCCGAGGGCACCGGCGCCTTCAACCGACCCAGGCGTCCCAGCACCCACACCAAACGGGCTGCTGCTTGGGAACGTCGCAGTTTTAAGATTTAGGATTAGGAAGTGGGGTTTTGGCTTCAGCATTGACCAGGGAGGGTTGGTCCAGCTGGTTTTTCTCCCTGCTCAGCCCTTAAATAGGTGTTAAACCTTCCCTACCTCATTAAATCGAGCTGCAAAACAGCAACAAGGGCAAGCAGGGCTGAAGAAATCCATGCTCTGATACTCCCTGTGCCAGCTCTGCTCCCCAGCTGAAGACCTGCCTCCCCAGGGCATTGCCTGGGATGGGGGTTGGGTCAGGCTTCACACAGAAAAGCCCCTTCCCAAGCTTGCCCTGGCTATTGCAATCAGATTTTTTTTTTTTTTTTTTTTTTTTTTTTTTTTTTTTTTTTTTTTAAAAACAA